AAGTCATCGACGAACTGTCCATCTGCTTACATCTACATTTCTCACTTCGCTCAGACAATTTGCCAGTTCAACTGAAGTTAGATGCCGATTTCTCAAACATGATGAGACCAGAGTTCGATCATCTCTTTCGGATGTTACCCTTCTACGACCTGATTATGGTCTTCTTGTAAAGTTACCGGTGTCGCTAAAACGCCGAACTGCTGTTTGAACCAAAGATCGACTAACACCTAACATTTCAGATGCATAATACTCGCTGCGACCATCTTGAACTAAAGTCACCGCCCTTGCAGCATCAGTCGGAGTTCATCATCATCATCATCATCATCATTCAGCCCATACTCGTCCACTGCTGAACATAGGCCTCCCGTAGTTCACCCCACAAATTTCTGTCCTGAGCCGCCTGCATCCAATTTTGATGTGTCCGTTTCAGGTCATCCGTCCATCTTGTTGGTGGTCGTCCTCTATTCCTAAAGGCATCTTGTCTGGGTCTCCACTTAAGAATGCGTTTTGTCCATCTGCCGTCCTTCGTTCTCGCGACGTGCCCTGCCCAGTTCCATTTTAAGGTTGATATTATTTTGATTGCGTCGGTTACTCCCGATCTACGGCGCAATTCTATGTTGGGTACTCGGTCTCTCAGGGTTAATCCCAACATGGACCGTTTCATTGCCCTCTGTGTTGTTCGAATTTTGTTTGCGGACGTCTTAGTAAGTGTTAGCGTCTCCGCACCATAGGTTAGAACCGGCAGCACACATTGATCGAAGAGTCGGAGTTATCGAAGAATAATTAAATAAAAATATAACACGTTTTGAAAATAAAATCACTACACTAGTATGGTTGTTGAATTAAAAACCACATTCAATAAATATCTACTTGCTGCAGACCCTTTTTGACAAAAACCTGAAATACCAATTTGTTTTAAGAGATATAAAAAGCAATGTTAAAAATATTATTTTATTTTTCGTATACGAGGGTATACCTAAATTTACATACGTAATTTAATGTCTCTAAAATTATACAACTTCAAATAAATAAGAAATAAGGAATGGATCGATTTTTTTGCACCTGAGTGTATATACTTTGAAAATCCTAATAGAAAAGACTTCAAGGGTCAAAATGTCAAGGTAAGCACAGAAAATCAGACTACCGAAATAAGCAGACGTGTAAAAATGGGCACACCCTAACATCTGGGCACACTCTATACCAATATAATTCAGAAGAGAACCACGGCCAAGGAGGAGTGGCTTTCATGGTCAACCGAAGAATAGAACACCAGATTGTGAAATACTCAGCAGTGTCGGAATTGCACAACTCTACGAAGATATAACGCGAGCTAAAGACCTAGAAAAAACACACTATGTTATCATCACCGGAGATTTTAATGCAAAAATAGGGCGGCGAATACCAGGTGACTCAGACTACATAGGAAATTTCGGTCTAGGCAACAGAAACACCAGAGGAGAGACATTAGCAAATTACGTAAGCACCGAAAAAATGTTTTGCCTGATCACGTTCTATAAAAAACAAATACAACGAAAGTGGACATGGCGTAGCCCTGACGGTCAGGTTAAGAATGAAATAGATTTTATCCTTTCCAGTGATAGATCAATATGTAAAAACATCGAGGTATTGAACAAATTTAACACCGGCAGTGACCATAGACTAGTTCGTGCTGATATACGTATTAACGTAAAGAGAGAAAGACGAAAACTATTAACAACAAACCCTTTACCGACAACAGACATCCTAGCCAGTAATAAAGAGAAATACCAAGAGGAATTAGCACGAAAACTAGTAGCAAATACCTTTGAGCACAAGAATATAGATGAACTAGCTGAGAAAATAACTAAAGACATACAAACAGTCACTAAGAAACTTTGTTGCAGAATAAGAAAACAAAAGGAAGCTAAACTAAAACCCGAAACTCTAGAACAGATAGAGAAAAGAAGAAGAACGAACAGAGATAACCCGGACTATAAAGCGCTCAACAGAAGCGTTAAGGAAAATATTCGAAAAGACCTCAGAGTTTATAGAACAAACCAGATTCTTGAAACCATAGAAAACAATAAGAACATAAAAGTACTAAAAACATGTAAATCCACTGGCAGGAATAAAATCATAAAGGTAAAAGACGACAGTGAAACATTGTGCTCGCATAAGAAAGAGATCGTAAGAGAAATCCGAAAATTTTATGAGAAGCTGTATACTTCTACTATTCCGAACCCCGGTATACCAACAAAACATATCTTAAATGTGGGCTTAGAGGACTTCCCTGAAATAATAACATCAGAAATTATAGCCGCCCTAAAACAAATGAAAAATGGAAAAACACCAGGAGAAGATAAAATTACTTCAGAGATGCTAAAAATGGGAGGCACTGCATTAGAAGAGGCAATAAGAGCATTACTTAATAAATGCCTATTGGAAGGACAAATACCGAAGACATGGAAAAATGCGGAAGTCATTGTACTCCATAAAAAAGGGGACGCCACAAATATAGAAAACTACCGACCAATAAGCTTATTATCACACCTTTACAAACTACTAACCCGAATAATAACAAATATATTGACAGCTAAACTAGATGCATACCAACCAGTGGAGCAAGCAGGCTTTCGTAAGGGTTTTAGCACTATCGATCACTTGCAAACAATTCGGACCATTATTGAAAAAACAATAGAGTACAACATACCACTACATCTGGCATTTGTCGATTATCACAAAGCATTCGACAGTATCGAGAAATGGGCTTTCTTAACAGCATTGGACGACGCCAGAGTAGATTCAAGATATGCTGCCCTCCTTAAGAATATATACGATGATGCTACTTTTCACGTAAAAATAGATGATGATCTGGAAACTATGAAAATAGACCTTGGCAAAGGTGTGAGACAGGGCGACACCATCTCACCCAAGTTATTTACTTTGGCATTAGAAAATGTTTTCAAACAACTAAATTGGGCCAAAAATGGATTAAAAATAGATGGAGTATATCTTAACCATTTGCGTTTTGCAGGGACATAGTACTAATAAGCACAGATATCCATGAACTAAAATCAATGCTACAAGATTTAAATCACAAATCGAATCAAATAAGATTAAAAATGAATCTCGACAAAACAAAGATATTAAGCAACAGCCTAGAAAACATCACGATAGATAAAATCAATATAGAAAAGGTAGAACAATATATATATATATATATATATATATATATATATATATATATATATATATATATATATATATATATATATATATATATATATATCTAGGACATGCAATTAAAAACGAAAAGAAAAATCAAACCCTAGAAATTAAAAGGACACAATTATCATGGGCTGCTTTTGGTAAGTTGAGCTTCATTTTAAAAGACAGAAAAATCCCAATTTACTTAAAACGAAAAACCTATGACACTTGTATACTACCAGTTGCAACTTATGGATTGGAAACTATGGCAATAATAAGAAAAATGGCAGAACAATTAAGAGTAACTCAACGGGCCATGGAGAGGGCCATGTTAAATATAAGCCTCAGAGACAAAATTCCTAACACCGAAATACGTCGAAGAACTAAAGTAACCGACATCATGGGAAAAATAGCGACATTGAGATGGCAATGGGTAGCACATGTAGCAAGACAAGACACCAATAGATGGTCTCATAAAGTGACATTCTGGAGACCTCGAGAAACAAAAAGAAGCGTGGGAAGACCTAAAAAGAGATGGATAGACGATATAACTGCTTTAGCTGGAAAGCAGTGGATGAGAATTGCAAAAGATAGGGAAGCGTGGAAGCAATTGGAGGAGGCCTATGTCCAACATTGGATAAATGAAGGCTGAAGAAGAAGAAGTAAAAATGGGATAGGCAGTATTCGGAAGACTCTTATATGCACTTAAAAATAAAAATATACCTCAAAGACTGCGAACCAAAGTGTTTAATTCCTGTATCCTACCTGTATTTACATATGGAGCTCAAACCTGGCCATTCACTAAAATAAACATGGAGAAGATCAGACAAACTCAGAGAGCTATGAAATGACAGATGCTGGGTATCTCATTCAAAGACCATAAAACCAATGAAGACATTCGTAATAGAACAAAAGTAAAAGATGCTGTCGAACAGAAAGCTAAACTGCAGTGGAAATGGGCTGGACGTAACGAACATCTTAAGGATTGCCGATGGAATAAAGAAATCGGCAATTGGCTGCCATATTATGAAGCCAAAATACCACGAGAAAGACCACAAATTGCGCTGGAGCGACGATATAAAAAGAACTGCAAGGCCAATGTGGAAACGTCTTACAAACAACTGAGATGAATGGCGAGAATGAGAAGAGGCCTATATTCGGCAATCCGAATAGACAGAAGAGCTTAAAAAAATATCATTTTAAATATTATCACTGTCCTCCTAACAACAAATACATAAGCATTTTTACAAAAATATTCTTCCACACCAGGCATACATTATCCCTAAAAAATGCGCAGTCAAAGTGTTAAAAACTGTTTTGGTTTAAAAATAATTGAGTTTTATATAAAGCGGTGTATTATGCACTAAAAGGCATGAATATTTTTGTTTTATAAAATACAGAATTGTAGGAAATGCGTGGGTCGACTGTAATCACCTTAATTTCGTACTTACAATTTTTTGACCCAATTCTGATTCACGCTATTACGAAGTTGAACTGGTTCGTCTAATTTATATTAAATTTTAACTGGAAAAATTGTGAAAATTCCGAATTTATACTCTAAGATATTTTTTACCATGTCGGGATAGTATTATGAGTTTTTTTTCTGGTTTTTCCTCATGATTTACTATGGAATCACTAACAGGAGAATTTTACTATCATCATTGAATATGGTTGTCTTTTTAAAAACGAATCACATGCTATGACTTTTCTAACTCATATTCTTAAATAAAAGTTGATTTCATATAATCGAATGAACTATGTTACAATTAAATTTAAAAAAAATATGTAGTAAGCATTGTTTTTTTCTGTTTAAGGTGCAACAATGTGCACGCCAAATTCAAAGTTTAAAATGGACTGTAACCTTTGCACATGTTCGACAAATGGTAAAGAGTACACTTGTACAAACGAAATGTGTCCACGGATAGTAAGTAAATGAAGATTAACTAATTACATTAAATATAAACATGTACGAATTGTGTAAAATAATTTGTGTATATTTTGTTTAAATTAAAAAATGAAATTCTAATATGTGTGTAAATAGTTAACTCTACTACCATTTTTATGGGAATAAGCCACAATTGAGGGTTAATAAGTTTATTGACGTTTCAATTTTAATTTCGGAACTCGTTCTCAAAATACAAACATTATTAAATTAAACAAATTTTGTTTTAATAAATTTTAACTTATTAATATTTGTATTTTGAGAACGATTTTTGATTCTTTTTGATCGATTCTTTTAATATTTGATCCTGGTAATAGGGCGACATTAGTTATCTCTTATTATTATTATTATCCCAGATTTAGCCATACGGCTCATACTCCCTCTAGGGGGAAAATTCACTCATCCCAGATACCTACGGTATCAAAAGGATTGAGCTCTGGTGGGACTCTTTCCATGTTATCGAGTCCTAGGTGACTTGGTACGTCGGTGTATCTCCTAAAAATTTTCGCACGCTTCTGGACGTCGAAAGTAGCACAGCTTTCTGCATGACCTTATATAGATGTTCATTTAGACCCAGCTTTTTTATCTTTTCTAGGAGGTTCTTCGGAATGACTCCAGTGGTAGAAAGAATAATAGGTATCGTGTGATGTTAATTCGGTTTTCATTTGTTTATGGTCAATTTTCCGCGCTTGCTTTACTCCTAGATATTTATACATATCATTTTCGCCCATAGCCTCGATGTTTTGGCCATTTTGCATATCGAATCCCCCGGGCTGAACCTTTCCCTTGACTATATTTAGTACACGACATTTGTCTAACCCAAAGTGCATACTGATATCCTTTGAAAACAGTTTCTACAGTTTTTAGCATTTGATCTAAGTTATTTCGAGTGGAAGCCATTAGTTTCAAATCATCCATATACAACAGATGATTAAGCTACGCCACTACAGTGTTGTTGTTTTTAATGCTAAAACCTGAGTCAGTGGAGCAATAGCTGGGATAGGGGATTAATCGCTAGACAGAACCACAAGGGACTCAGCGAGTCTCCTTGGAATAGGCCACGGTTAATTGCGATATTTTCCGTTTCGATATTGTTTTCACCAGGTATTTGAAGGTGAATTTTAGTCTTCCAATCTGTCATTATATGTCTTAAGAAGGTCACTATATTACCATCGACTTTATATATTCTTAATATATCTACAAGCCATTCATGCGGCACTGAGTCAAAGGCTTTCTTATAGTCAATAAAGGCAGTGAATAGGTTCCTTTTTTTGGTGTATGCCTGGTTAGAAATGACTGAGTCGATAATAAGTTATTATTATTATTATTATTCCAGATTTAGCCATACGGCTCACACTCCCTCTAAGGGGAAAATTCACTCATCCCAGATACCTACGGTATCAAAAGGATTGAGCTCTGGTGGGACTCTTTCCATGTTATCGAGTCCTAGGTGACTTGGTACGTCGGTGTATCTCCTAAAAATTTTCGCACGCATCTGGACGTCGAAAGTAGCACAGCTTTCTGCATGACCTTATATAGATGTTCATTTAGACCCAGCTTTTTTATGTTTTCTAGGAGGTTCCTCGGAATGACTCCAGTGGTAGAAAGAATAATAGGTATGGTCTGGGTACTTTCCATTCTCCATTGTCTTCTTATTTGTATTTCCAGATCTCTGTACTTGGCGATCTTTTCGTTGTACTTAACACGCAGATTATTGTTGTTAGGTATCGTCACATCGATTAGAGTTGTTTGTCTTGTTAGTTTATTAACTAGCACGAGATCTGGTCTATTATGTGCTACAGTTTGGTCTGTGAGCACAGTGCGATCCCAGTATAGCTTGTAGTTGTCATTCTCAAGCATACTTTCTGGAACGTATTGATAATATGGGAGATGGTTTGTTTGTAGAAGTTCCAGTTTAATAGCTATCTCTTGATGAAGGATCTTCCCCACTGAGTCATGCCGTTCCTTATATTCAGTTGCAGCAAATGCCTGGCAGCCTCCGGTAAGATGTTGGATCGTTTCTTGGGCTTGACATTCATCTCGACATTTGTCGTTTGGACCTGAGGGTCTTTGACAATATATTTCAGGTAATTTTTGGTTGGTATAACCTGATCCTGAATGGCGAGTAATGAACCTTCTGTTTCAGGGAACATCTTTCCTGATGTCAGCCAATAGTTCGACGCTATATTGTCGACATAGTCTTGACTGACTTCATTCGGATGTCGCCCGTGCAGAGGTTTACCCATCCAGATGCGCATTTTTTCGTTCTTAGTAATATGGTTTTATGGTTTATTATGGTTAATATGGTATTATTATTATTATTATTATTATTATTATTAATATTAATTCTCCCCCGAAAAATTAGGGAAAGCGATAGAAATGATCAAAAAGGTCTTAACCTCTTCAAACCCCTGAAAACCCCTGAAAGGGTCTTGACTGACTCGGATCACAGCCAAGAAAGCACTGGAAAAAAACACGTACCCATCGGCTGAAACTCGTGCAAGATACGAGAGAGACTGCATATCCAGCGGTGCTTTAGATGCCTGCAGTTCGGGCATAGTAAAATCGACTGCAAGAGAGAAAACAGCGGACTGCTGCTACAGATGTGGCAAAGAGGGTCACCAGGCACGAAAATGCAGTAATTAGGAGGCTTTTTGCCCGACTTGTAAAGAATCCGGGCACAAAGCGGACATCTTACAATGCCTAAAGTATAGAAAACTCATTCTAAAAAAACGAAAGCTCAAGAGATACCCTATCAGAAGGAAGGAGGAAAGAGTGGGTGAAAGCACTTAGGATCAGGAATCAGACAACGTACGGGTAAATAAGTTAAAGAGATAAGAACCATTTATTACGAAGTTTCTACAAATAAATGTGGGAAAGACGAGGGCTGCTCACAACGTTGCAAAGGCAGGAAGGGAAGGTTATAACATGATCCTATTTCAGGAGCCCAATGTAAACTTGGTTTCTCTACAGGACATCATAATTATATGTAGGAAATTTGACGTGGACGTATACGTGGTGAATCGAGGAGCTGGCATTGTCAGCTGCACTCCATTAAGAATGGTATATGTCAGAAACCTGGTAGTGTATAATTGCTATGTTTCACTAAACATCCCGCTTCGAGTATATGAAGAGTACTTTGACTCGATTATGCAAGAGGCTAGGATGGAGACACTGTATCGGTCCTCATAGCTGGTGACCTGAATGCGAAGGATCATCCATGGAACTCAAGAGTGCAAGATGGGAGAGGAAATATCTATCAGAATGGATCCACGCCATGGGGCTTACCGTGTTTAATGACGGTAAGGCACCTACATTCGTGAGAGGTAATAGTGAATCCTTTCTGAACATCCACAAGTATGTGAGTTTTGAAATAGCTAGCAAAAACAGAAACGTAAAAATGGGGATATCAATCTAATGAGATGTTTAAATGAGGTTTTTGTAGATGCTTTTGGTTTGATTGGTCCGGGATGTACGGGAGGGTCTGAGTGATGCACAGGAGTTGGCCTGTGTAAGATCAAATGGAAGGTCTTTATCTTTTTTGGATAGACCAGACGCTCTCTTTAGTAAATCCATTTCTACTACTTTTATCTTTAGACCCTAGTAAAGAGTTCAGAATGTTTACCACTTTTTTCCCTGTTGCGTTCTGCTTTCGATATTTCTTTTGGTGGTGGCTGTTTTAGATATTATAGATCCGGGATATTTATATTCATTGCATATTTTTGTGTTTTTAATTTCTAACTCTGGATCTTCTTCATCATTTCCTATTTTAAGATACTCTATCTTTTACATATTGTATTGAGGCCCCATTTTTCATATTCTTTCTTTAGTTTTCCAAACATGTACTCCACGTTTTCCTCACCATTCGCTACGGCTACCTGATCATCTGCGAAAAATAAAGTTGTTAGAGATTTACCAACGGCTATGTCTATTCCCATTCCGGATACTTGTTTCTTTCACTGCTTTAGCGATGATTGAATATATATTTTAAATAAGGTCGGAGATAGATAACAACCTTGTTTAAGCCCCTTTGTTATTAGAAATGATTCAGATATAGAGTTTCCTTCTTTAACTCTGTACTGAGACCTACTTTCGTCAATGTTTGAGAAACTCTTTTCATAGGTACAGTAGCGTATGCCTTCTCTAAATCTATAAAAAAAGTGGATATATAGATTCCTTGCCTTCCGTTTTTCGATTACCTGCTGCAGAACGAATATTCTAACAGTGCACGATCTTCTTGCACGAAATCCATTTTGTTCTTTTATGTCTTCGTATTCTGATTCTATTATTTTTTTTTATTATTCGACCGTACAACCTCCCCACTGAGCTGATAACAGGTATTCCCCTATTAGAGCATTTGCGTTTATCCCTTTTTTTGAATATTAAGCTGATGTATCCAACATTCCAATCATCAGGGATATTTTGTCCTTTTAAGCATTTGTTAAATAGTTGAACAAACATCTCATGTAATATTTTTGGTCCATACTTTCCAACTCAATTGGAATGTTTCCAGGTCCTGCTGCTTTCCCGTTTCTCGATCTTTTGAAGGAATCGCTTAACTCTCCGGTTGTTTTCTCAATTACTTGTCTATGTTCGAATATTTCTTCCATTTCGACCTCTTAAAATTTACATCTATCCTCTATCAGTAAGACCTCATAACGGTGTTTCCACTGTTTCCAGTGAGAGACTTTATCACCTTCCACGCTTGCCCAACTCTTGTTCCACCCATATACTTATCCACCTCTGCACATTTTCGATCCTTCGTCTTATTTTTAATTTTCACTGCTTCTTTTTTTACAACTCGATTTAATTTTTTATATTTCTTCCTTATTTCTCGTTGACATCCATTTCTGATAAGCAGTTTTCTTCTTGTTTACTAACGTTTGCCTATTCTTCATTTTTTGTTTCATGTTTGTCTTTATAGCCAAAGCTTCACTTGCAGCCTCCTGAATGCGTGTTTTAAGTTGCTGGTATAATTCTTCCGCTGATATATTTTCTCGATCTACATTTTGTAATTTTGTGGCCAGTCGTAATTTGTTAAAAATTTCACTGAATCTTTTTTCTTCTTTTTGATTGTAACGTAACTTTTATTTTAGAATACCAATGAACAATTCTACAGAACCCAGACCAAAGATGGACACGTACTGCTGGTTCCAAAGTATGACGATCAATTTAAATCAGACGATGATGCTTATGTTTTGACACAAAAATCAAGAAAACCTCGAGTTTCAGAAGGATATCCTTACATTAATGATATGATGACTTCAAAAATGGATAAAGGGGATAATAGGTAAAGTATTTTAAAAAATACCAGTGTCCAATATCTTCAGAATTCATATCCGAAATTGGACAGTATAATTTTATCACCCAGTAGACCGAATGAATTTATTTGTTATTAAATACACACACGTAGTTAATTAGGTTACATACGCATTTATTCAATTATCAATAATATAAGTTGGACATCAGTCAAAAGTGCTGACAAAAGTTAAACAATTTACATAAATTAGATACACATATCACGCGAGGTCCGCGAATATATTGACCCAATTAAAACTTATATAAAACTAAGATCTCTTGCCTACAGAAGCATTCAATCAATATTCACTCAACAAACTTGATAGTCTTCAACGATCAACTTCATCAGTCTCTACTCAAAGTAATCCCGGGTCAACACCCATAGTATACGTCTCATCAATAAACTCTGCTACTATTATTTGGTGTTTCCATTACAACTGAACGAACATCTTCACTAAGCCAACGAAGGGAAATTTGTTCAACCAGTATAAATATCTTAGATTGAGAGCATATTCAAATTGTTGATTTTAGATAGGGAGATACACTATATCTAGTATTATTTAACGTCTAGGACTTCTTTAAGTAATTGACTGATGTAATTTTAATAACTAATAAAACAGATCTAAGATATAAAGTAATAAAAATATTCAAAAAATAGTTTATTACGGTCTTGTGGAATTAAAAATTTTAATTTTACTACTTAATAAATTGGACAGCGTTTACTAAAGCTAAAAAATATCGAGCTCTGATCTAGATCTAAAATTTTTTAAGAAATGTTCTGATACCTTGGGTCCGCAACAGGGCTACTGGTCCTAGGCTTGTTGCACAACTTCGTTTTATATTTTTCTATTTGTTAAATTACTTTTAATAAATTAGCATACAAATCTGCTTTTTCCTTTTCGTATATGCCTACGTGTGATGGAACCCATAATAATTTAATTTCTAATTGGCGAAGAAAAAATAATTCCGAACTTATTAAGCTGGCAATTGGGTTTTTTGAGTATAACTGTTGGATGGCGTGGATGCAACTTAGAGTGCTTGTCATTATAATTACTTTGGAGTTATGACTAGATTTTGAAAATTTTACTGCTTTCAAGATGGCGTACAGTTCGGTTGTAAGGATGCTATTAAACGAAGATAATTAAAAAGTTTTAGCAGCGTTAGGAGATATTACTGATGCTCCAAGATGTTGGTCTGTTTTTGAGGCGTCGGCTTAGATAGAAAGGTAATCGTTATGCTGCTGTATTATCTCAAGAAAAGCTTGTTTAATGTAATTATGGTTTATTTCAGTTTTGTTGTACTTCGTTAGGTCAGTATTGATTTGGAAAATTATCCAGAGAGGAGGTGTTTTGCTATTTAATACAAAGAAATCTGGTAGTTGTACCTTATTGTTATTTGTTTATTGTCAAATTCTTTCATAAAAAGGTTGATCTTGTCTCTTATTAAAGTATGTATTAGGGAAACGGCTGGTTTTGATATTAAAGTTGACTGGATTATTATAATTTGCAAGAGCAGCTGAAGCATACGGTACATTCTCCTATATTCTAAAGGTGGTTCTCCCGTTATGCATTGAAGGCTTACGACAGGCGATGTTCGGAAAGCTCCTGTGGCAATATAATCAGAATTTTGCATTTAACAAAATGAAAATCGTATTTTGTAGCAGAAACGTCGCAATGGCTTCAAAAGTAAAATGGTTATATATTATATGTTTTTGGACATTAAAGGGACATTCCAAATACATTGAACGCCTTTGGACAATGTATCTTCAAAAGTCTGCTGGAAGAAACTGTGTAGATCAAGTCACGAATGTCGAGGTATTTGGAAGGATAGAAAAAAGGAACATTTAACACTATTAATATAAGAAACTTTCAATTACTAAGATATAAGTATCACGAACGGCAACTTTATAACTTGCTTCAAGTAATAATATAAGAAAGAAATCAAGGAACGAGAGTTGAACAACTTGAGAGCCTAGTTAAGATGTACTTCCGTTAACTTTTTCAGGGCGGTCGGACTGAAAGTACCGATTTCTATGGTTGCTAACTAACCATTTAAGAGGAGATGAGGCATAAAAAAGGAGAATAAATATTTTTGTAACACATAGGCTGGTGTACCTTGAAAGTAAATAAAAAACTTTTTAGAAATATTGTTTACTGTAAAAATGTTATTAAGTTTATATTGCTAGGTCCCCTTCTTTATTATTATTATTATTTTTGCGATATTATTTTTAATAAAAATTGTTTCCTTTTTTAGTAAAGATGATGATGTGGAAATGATAAAACCAAAACGACAATCTGAAAAACTAGAAGTAAGCGAAAATGAGCCAGAAGTTCCTGGTGATGTTCCTATTGACGATAGCGCTGATAGTAATGAAATCGATAATGCCAGATGGGCTCCCTTTCAACCACGAAAAGCTCCAGACTTTCCTGAATAAAAAAATGCAAATTTGATTTTTTTAGTTTACTCTTTAAAGTTTAATAATTGTACACTAGGATATTTTTTTATCTTCGTCACGAAGGTAATAATTTTTTTACACTAATGTAGCCAAAACAACACTAGGTACTCAAAAATTCTTCAATAATTAAATAATGCCAATACATATTAAAAGAAAATTGTGATTTCTTATGTGTGTGTCCTATATTAGTGCCAAGTCACACTGTTTTTATTATTTGTACACTATACGAATAAATTTGCGTATTCAATAGTCCGTAAATTTTTTTAAATTTTTGTAATTGAGCGTTTATTTTTAAACCTACAAAAACAATGTAAGATCTGAATTTATTACTTAATATTATAATAGTGTTTAGAACTTTTATATTATTTTGATTTGTTTACATAAAACTTCAAATAAAATAAACGATATTTTTAAAATCTAAGTGGTTTTATTTTAAACAGACTAGTTTTTGATTTTATTTTCTAAATATATGAGAAAAATAACAAGAAACTAACTAAACGTACGTACTTTAAATCTATGTCCCGACTGCTGATAGAAAATATGACGATGAAGTCGAGAAGTTGTATAATTAGATCCAAGACCTCTTACAGAAACTTAATAAACACGAAATTTTATATATTATAGGCGACTTCAATGCAAAAATTGGGGAAGATTGATGAGGCCAGACTGTAGGTTCTTACGGTCTAGGATAACCTAACGATCGAGGACAGAGATTGTATGAATTCTGTAAAGAAAACGATATGATCATTGCAAACACCTGGTATAAACTATCCAAGCGACGACTATACACTTGGAAAGCTCCATTTGATGATGGCAATAACCCTGAGTCTTCAAGAAATCAAATAGACTATATACTTGTAAATGAGCGTTTCCGAAATGCCGTCAAAAAAGTAACTACATATCCTTTGGCAGATATTGAATCTGATCATCAACCACTTGTAGCAAATATTAAACAAAGGTTAAAACGAATTCAGCGGCAAAAACCAAAAACCAATGTACTTAACTTTGACGATATAAACATAAAACATAACATTAAAAAAGAATTTAACAATAGAATAAAAAACATGAAGGAGTTGGTTGTCTCATCAATAGAAACTTGACTAGTAGCATTAAAGATTGGGAATGTATTACCGAAAGGATCCTAAAAATTAGAATGACAACCGAAGAGAAGAAACTAGTCAACATCTTTGTTATATATGGACCAAACGATACTGAAAGAGCGAACACCAAGGACATTTTTTGGGAAAAGGCGACAGAGATCATAAATAGCGCAGAAGGTAACATAATAATAATTGGCGATCTCAATGGTAGAGTAGGCTTAAAAGACCAAGAATCCTCGAATGTACTAGGACAACACGGAGAACAAGTAAGAAATAATAATGGTCAACGAATTATAGACTTTTGTAGAGAGAATGACTTGATAATTATGAATTCCTTTTTTCAACACAAAGATGTGCACAAATATACCAGAGAAGTCAAGAGTAGAGGAGAAAAGTCCATTATTGACTATGTATTGGTAAACAGATCCTTAAGACAATGTATCAAAGATGTCAGAGTCAGAAGGGGAGCAGAAATATATAGCGACCATTATCTGGTAGTATCCCGAACTAGTATCGGTGTGGAACAAAAACGCACCCAGAAGGTACCAAGAAAAAGAGACAGAACCCCAAGAAACCTCACAAACGCAGTTATTAGGTCATACAAGTTAGCAGATAAGAAAATAGCACAGAAATACAAAAGCTATGTGAACAACAGTCTACAAAAGCACTTAAACCAGAACTATGACTTAGAAGAAACTTGGCAAAAACTTAAAGAATCTCTCCTAGATGGGGGCAAGCAAATCTGCGGAATAGCTAAAATCAATAAAAACAGACAATTTACGAATTGGTGGAGTAATGAAATAAAAGAAGAGGTCAAATCCAAGAAGCTAGCGTGGAAAAAATATCTAGGGAACCAGAATGCAGAAAGCTATCAAAAATATAAGCAACAGAGGGCAAAAGTAAAAGATATGGTGATTGAAGCAAAAAAGAAGAGCTGGGAGGATTTTGGGATGAATAAGCTGGAGAAAGACTACCACACTAACCAAAAACTATTTTACAAAACTCTGAGAAGCCTAAGAGCAGAGAACAGACAACAAACACCAAAACAAATTAAAAACAAAGATGGCCACATCCTCTGCGAGAACGAAAGTATTATGAACAGGTGGAGAGAATATTTCGAAGACCTTCTGACTCAAAAAGACTATAATAATGAAATGGAAAACACTGAAGAAAACACATCTGAGAACCCAAACCAAAACGAAATAACAATAGAAGAAATAAGAGAAATAATACTCAGGCTCAAAAGAGGAAAGGAAGCTGGCTATGATAAGATAACTGCGGAAATGCTAAAAAATATGGGAGAAAATGGAAATGAAATGCTTAGAAAAGTTTGTAATAAAGCATGGAATGAGAACAAGATCCCAAAAGACTGGGAAGTGGGCGTTATTCTACCCATTTTCAAAAAAGGTGACAGACGAGAATGCAGCAACTACAGAGGTATAACTCTCCTGAGTATCCCTTCCAAAGTTTACGAACGAGTACTGGAGAAAAGACTACTACAAGAAGTAGACCATAAGCTGGAGCAGTCACAGAGCGGTTTCAGGAAGGGAAGAAGCATCCATGACCATATTTTTACACTCAAGCATCTAATACAAAATGCACGAAATACAAGCAGGGAACTATACCAAGCCTTCATAGACCTCGAAAAAGCATTTAATAGAACACCGCGAACTGAAATAGACAAAAGCCTAAGAAACAGAGAAGTAGACGGCAAACTCAGAAAAGCTATTATGAGTCTATACAAGAACACAAGAAACAGGGTAAGAACAGATAATATGGAATCAGAAGAGTTTAGAGTCAATGATGGCTTACAACAAGGAGGTGTACTAGGCCCCATCCTGTTTAATATTGTACTAGATGATGTAATGAAGGAAACTAGAGAAGAAACATCGAGATTATTTGTTGGACATAGAAACCTGAAAATGATACAGATTGCGGAGTGCGCATTTGCAGATGACCTCGTCGTATTTGGAAGAAACGAGGACGCACTTAAAAGAAACCTCCAAATATGGAGAGATAAACTTAAGAAACGCAATCTGAGAATTAATGAAAGTAAAACCAAAGTGATGGTATGTGGGAAAACAGACCAACATACAAACATTAAAATCAATAACTACACTTTAGAACAAGTAGAAACCTTTAAATACCTGGGAGTGCAACTAGAGAGTAGGGGTACACAAGAAGCAGAGATAAATAATCGAATAGCAAACGCTTCCCGGATATACCACGCAATTAAGAGCACATTCCTATCGAAAAAAGAAGTATCCCAAAAAGCAAAGATAACTATCTACAACACAGTTTTTGTACCTATCTTAATATTTGGATGTGAAAGCTGGACGCTCACCACCAGACTAAAAAGTAAACTGCAAAGTATATCAATGAAGTATCTAAGAAGAGTACTAGGGGTGACCAGAATGGACAGGATACGGAACAATGAAATAAGAGAACGCCTTAAAGTCCAGTCAATAGAGAAGAAAATCGAAGAAGCTCAACTGAGATGGTACGGCCACATGGTAAGGATGGATAAAAAAAGCCAAGTGAAACAAGTGTGGGAAGCGAGAAGAACCTTGAAAAGACCGAGGGGCAGACCCATGAAGACCTGGGACGATGAAATTGCCGCCATCCTAGACAGGAGAGGAGTCACCAAGGAGCAAGCGAAGAAGTTGGCAAGCAACAAGAAGAATTGGAGGAAGTTTGTACATGAAAACTAAAAGAGACTTTACACCCAACACCTTAGGGTAGAAGGGTTATTGATTATATATATATTATATATATATATATATATATATATATATATTATATATATATATATATATATATATATATATAACATCGGAGAACAACTAGATGATCCAGAAGAACTATGGAGTGAATTTAAAAACCAAGTTAACGAAATCTCCACAAACAATGACTATAGAAAAAACTTAATCAAGAAAAATAAATGGATGACAAACGACACCTTGAAATTAATGGAACAACGTCGACTGATAAAATCTAATGTAACAGAATATTGACACCTACAGAGAAGAATAAGAAAGGAGATCAAATTAGCCAAAGAAAAATGGATGAGAGAAAGGTGCGACGAAATGGAGGATGTAATATCTAAACACGATTTATTTAATGTGTACAAAAAACTAAAGAAATGAGTAACATATTTATAAAACGAGTTTCCTCTGTACTCGTTGACAATAATAACAAAATTATTGTAAATGAGCACGAAATAAGAAAAGAATGGCAGCTGTATATATCAGAGTTGTTTGAAGATGACAGGAATAATATTGCCGAATTCTACCAAAACTGTACTGACGGTCCAGAAATTATGAAATGCGAGGTAGAACACGCTATAAATAATGCTAAAATTAGAAAAGCTTGTGGTCCAGATGATACAGCAACTGAGTTGCTGAAACTAATAGAGAATGATAACATAAAAGTAGTAGTAAGACTTTTTAATTCTATATATAACACCGGAGTGATTCCCGCAGATTGGCTCAAATCCATCTTTGTCGCAATAACTAAAAAACACAATGCAAAAAATGCTCAAAATATCGATTAATTAGCCTAATGAGCCACACTTAAAATTTCCCACAGAATACTTCACAACAGAATTAGACGCAAATGCGAAGAATATCTTGAAGATACCCAATTTGGTTTTAGAAATGCTATGGGAACCAGAGAGGAACTTTTTTCGCTTAACATCCTATTACAAAAATGCCGTAACCAAAGAAAAGATAAAGTAAACTACAGCTTGTAAAATTAATGCAAATACTGAAAAATATTGGTAATAGATATTGGTAATAGATGACAAGGATATTCGTGTCATTAAAAATTTTTACTGGTATCGAACTGCTATCGTAAAAATTGGAGATAACTAGACCGATAAAATCTCTGTAGAACGAGGAGTCAGACAAGGTTGCATTTTGTCGTCAACATTGTTCAATGTTTACTCGGACCAGTTATTTAAAAAGGTCTTCAAATTCTGCTTGATCGTATTCACAAGATAGGAGGGAAAATGGGTATTAAAATAAGCTATAACAAAACCAAATTTGTAGTGTTTAGTCGTAACCCACGTCCCGATGCAAAGCTTCAATTAAACGGATTCCAAATTAAGAAAGTTCATAAAATGACATATTTGGGAACTGTAATAACGGACCAACTAGATCCAGACATAGAAATAAAATGTAAAATAGCAACGACTAAAACGACTTTTATGAA